GTCTGTATGAAATTGGAGGTAGTTTGAGGATTCAATGTTTTATGCTTTTTAACCTCAAAAAAAGAGGGGGGGGGGGTCGTATTATACATGAATAAATACGGTAGTTTTTCTGATTCTATCACAACTTCTAGAAGTAAATGAGTCCAACAATAGTTTTTTCTGCATAAACACAACACCACATCCTTTTATTTCCCATGTGTTAAAGTCTTGAGCCTAAATAAAGCTGTAGATCAAGATAAAACTCCTGCAGCTTTATATAAAACCTGTTTAGAAACACTAAGTTTGCATCTTCTGTTAGTTTTTCAGTTCAGATGTCAGATCCTTCGGTGCGATCCTCTCTGACCCTTCTCATCGATTCCTCAGAGTGGCTCTTGACATYTTGCGTGCAGCGTGGCTGAACTTCCGAGGAAGAGCGAAGTTGTTTGGAGTTCGCGTTGCGTCGAACCTCCTCTTCTTAAAGACCGAGCTGCAGCTTCAACCTCAGCACGGCACTCGGGAACACACCGGAGAGAGAGAGAGAAATCTTTTCAAAGGAGTCTCGGGGACAGATGTTCCTCCTCTACACCTTTTATTTCCACGTCTCGCTGCAGTGAAGCTCTTATAAAGAGATTTATTTACCAGCGTAACCTGATGAAATCTTGCTCTGCGCTGTACTAAAAATAAAAACTTATTGAACGAGCAGGTGAACAGCAGGAATATGAGCTTCTGGTTGTCTGCAGCTTATAAGATTTGTGCTAACATCATACGGCTGCATTATCTCCTGCACATCTACGATCGGGTTGTAAAGAAGTTGAACAATTTTTTAAAATCAATTATTTTTCAGATCCTTACAGAAACAAAACATCAACTATTTAATAGTTTGATGTCATTTTACAGCTAATTATTCTCAAGTCTAATAGAATAAAAAATGGATTTAATCAATAAAAAAGGCACATGTAAAACTGTTTAGATACCCCGCACAACAGTAGAATATATGACCCCAACACATATGCAGTATTGTTTTTTTTTTGGGGGGGGTCCTCATTGGTGGGCCCGATGGATAGCCCTTCATTAGAGCTAAACATCAAAAAAAATCTGAAGCTTCTATGTTGAATAGTTTTTGAGTTATAAACATTTTTTCATGTCCAAACACCCCCTTTTTTAGATGGAGCCCCCTCCTCAAATATGGGGTCTATTGTAAAACCGTTGGCTGGAACAGTGTAGGTCAGACACATCTACATCCCTAAATAAATAAATGGTACAAAAACAATGAATTTTGAATCTTGTGAGGTCATTCCAGTATGCTTCGTTTGTTTTAAAAACATAAAAATTTGGTAGAAAATGTTCATCAGAGCTTCTTCCTGTTCTTTTCTGTCTAAAACGGCTTCATTTAGAAACATTTCATTCCTTTAAGCCCCTCCCCCTCCTGTCAGAACCAACTGAAAAGCTTCAGATGAGGGCAGAAAGTGATGAGCTTTCCGTCTGTGACCTTCCTCACCTCCTCRTCATCACGCTGCTCTCACTTCTCTCTGAATATTTCTGCAAAAATCTAAAGTGTTTTTTATTTATCACCAAAAAACCTCCTCCGTCAACAGATCTGACATCTCAGACTCGTCAAAACACAAGTTTAAAATAAAAAAAAATTGTTCATCAGTGACTCAAACGTCTTTATTCTCTGGTTTGATCTTTTCAGGATTGTTTGGATTCAGTTCTCCTCCTCTTCCTCACAGAGTAACCAAATAAGATCTTTAGTTTAKCAGACACAGTTACTACATTTAAAGTTGAGGATCATTTGTTCACTTTAATCCTGGAGGCTGATTCTATGATAAATGTTTGTCTTGTTCTATTTGTTTCATTTCTCCTCTTCCTCCTCTCTTCCTTCCTGCCTCTTCATCTTCAGTCGGCTCCAGACAGACGAAGGCCTTCAGCTGATGGAGATCTTGGCCCGGCGTGCAAACCTGCACATGACGGATATGGCTGAAGTTTTGTACGTATAGCTGTTATTTTCTTCTTTGTTTTATTACTGGTCACACTTCAGTCTGAGTAGTTCCTTGTTTTTACCGATTTTTTTTTTTTGTTGCCCCGAAAACAATTGTGAAAATCTAAAGTATAGAATCACCCGCTGACGTCTCTAATCTTCCTTTTAGCTTCTCTAATTTTAAAGAGCTGGAGATGCCTGTAGAGGAACTCCCTGTCTGTAAACTGAGGCTTCAGCTCTGAATGTCTCGATCTAAAAGTCCCATCAAAGAAAAAAACATGGTCTAACATTCCTAGAACAACCTATTTGCACGTGATGTCACGCTCTCCACKCCACCATGACAGAYGTCAAAACAACCTACAGTATACGCATGTCAGCTCTGATACAGCTAGTCAAAAAACACCTGGTAGCCTAATATCACTTTTATTTAATTGATTTATCTGTAAAAATGGTCATAGGGTGCTGCATGGTCAGCTGCACGGACAAGGAAACAAATCAAACCTGTTTTATTGCACAGCTTTGGATGAAGACAGAAAACAGGACTGGCAGCCCTCACTGTATTCATGGATTAGTAGCTAGCAGTTTTACAAGGAAAGCTCAACGTTGCGATGTTTTATAATAGTGCTAGACAATAATTCAATATCTTTGTCRGGGTAAAAATGTTTCGATATGACTTTTAAAGAAATTTGATCCACAGACGTCTACACTTTTTGAATATTTTGTAAATATGTGTAAGTTTAATAATGTAAGAAATCCACAATTTTCTGTTTTTTTTTTTTCAGTCAGTGTTTAACACAGCTGGCACAATAAATTTTATAATATATAATCCTGTACTTTTTTTTATTTAGTGTAAAAAATGAGCCCTTCATGTCATAGACGCTTGATTCAAGAGAAATGAGAGGTTTCTAGGAAAATGGCTGCTTATCAATTAATCGTTAGTCAATCGATGAGCTCAATCAACTTTAGATTAATTCATTAATTGATAACTTGCATCCTTAGACATGGTTGGGCTTTTGAAGGTTTGATAAACTTCAGCTGTAAAATGTGCCAATATATATAATAATATATAAAACAATATATATCACAAATTTATTATCGYGATAACAACCATTGCAATATGCATATCGCAAAAAAATTCATAAATTGCAATAAATGATTGGCTGTAATGTTTGCATTTATGTGGTTTGTCAGCATCAGTCTGATAAACAAAATGGACCAGAGAAACAACATCAAATCATAATTACTCCATGTTGTAATGGAAATTATGTATTGTTTTTTGCTCTGAACACAAAGCAGAAAAACATTGTATATCTAAATATTTTTTGATTTATCGCGAGTCATATCGTCATCGCAATATTAAGCACTGTTATCGCAGGGGCTCTTAACCTTTTTGACCTCGGGGCCCAATTTGTTGAACATAAAGAGGCACGAGATCCAGTCAGACATTACCAATGTACGATTAAAATGATAATTTTTTTAAGGAAAAGATTACTAAAAAAATCAAGCCTGACTCAGCATAATTGCTGTTTTACAGCAGGTTCCTGTTCTGCAG